TATTTCCAAAAAAATACTTCCGTTTTTAGATCAGAAAATGTATAATTTGACACGACTATAGTTTGAAAACGGTTCGTTCGATTTGACCCAAGCATGGAGAATACTATAGAAATTACCTTGTATTGATTTAATTCATTTCCATTTAATAATTAATATAATTATTAATTATACCTTATACCATATATCATACCATATAATCATATGGTGGGTGAGTTAGGTTATTATAATATTTTTATGGGGTTATAAAATTTTAGGTTTTATTCAAAAAGTTAATTTATACTGAATAGTTTGGTCGATTCTAAACGTAACTGGCATACTTATTGCTGTAACTTAGATTTCGTGTAATTTTCAATAAATTTAAACTAATTGTTGCTCTTGAAGAATGTTAGTCGACTGTTCTACATATCATGGGTGATAAATGTTCACTGGAGGTATTCAAGTACCCGAAACACGCCCTGATGACGACCCACAAGTTTGTTAAAACGTTGGAACTAATAAAAACGTTGAAAATGACTGCGTCCTGAATATGTATCACACATAATTGTTACTCGTTTTTACGAGTTCGTAAAAAAATAAGCCTTATTTGTGGTTGTTTATTACTGTTGAAGTTCAATCAGCCCGTCGTGATCTCGATTTCCTCCTCAAATATCAAAATTGTGTGAACTTTACGCATATTTTTATATTCCAACTTAATTAGTTTTGTCCTTTGTTTGTTGTCCAACAAACAAAAAGTTTACTTTTTCCAATGGATATTTTTGTTCCATCCATTTTACTAGTGAAAACATACCTATTAAGGATAAATCACTACTGTTAGTGTAAAAAGCCGTATATAAAAGATTTCAATTTTTATTCTATTTTTGACATTATGTAGTCGATTAGACATTATTAGCGATTTATATAAGCAGTCTACTACTATAATGTATATCAGAAGGCAATAAAATATAAAATTATACTCATAAATCATAAAGAAATAATTAGTTTTATGCTCTCCTGTAAAACACTCAATTATTACATATGACCTTTTGCATTAACAGTAGCGATATGCATATTCAGTATGTACTGGAATTATTTTTTTTTAATTGCGAATCATCCAATGTGCAATCTGCAAATGCGGAACTCTTTCGCATTTCAGTATTTGCTGAATCACAAAACTCGTGGATATCAATCCCGTATATGCTCAGGGATTACTGAATTTTCGATTACGTCTTCATCCAGAGATTTTATTCGTATACAAAAAATTTTAGATCTTGCAATAAATATATTTTTTTAGCTAATGAAAACAGTGAGGAAGCTATACTGACCTTACTTACCAGACGTTTTTAAAATCACAATTCTATTTAGTACACATGAAACATCAGTTCAACAATATAAAGGTAGATATAATTAATAATTAGTTTTTTCACCCTTCTATTAACTTCTGCGACTTTGCACATTATATATTTCGTTTTTCTAAAATCCTCAGCTTCCCAATGATATATAATATATATATATTCTAACGTGTTCCAGTATTTCTCAATAAATACCTAACAAGAACATTTCTCTCTATTATATAAAAAAGTTTTCATTGACTGTCATATTTTAATATTGGAGTAGTAGGATTACAGGAGCTCAACAGTTAAAATGAGGGTTGGTCCGCCGTTCGGTGGACAGGGAGTACTCCCTCAGTCTTTATTTGTTATATCTTTAATCACAATTGTATTTTAACTAAACAAAAACATATTTATAGACACAAATAGGTCTGAAACTAGATCTTTCTCTCAATCTAAAGAACAATTTGACATAATATTATAAAAATACTTCAATTTTTTCGTTTCTTCCCAGATTTAGTAGTAATATGTGGGCATGTTTGAGTTTCTTCACTGGGAGGAACCGTCCTTCTCCAACACTACTGGCAAAGTGGATATTTGAGAATCGTTTCCTGGGGCTCCTAACCCACTCACTGATTCTTCCTTTGTTACGGGAACTTCAACTGTTTTTGGATGATCTGTAATGTTCATCGATTTTATAACTGATTCTTCCTTCTGTAGCAACTTTTAGTTATCTTGTTTAACTTTGTTATTTGTTAAAGTAGGTTTCAATAAACAGAACCTGCTCGTTCCTAATGATCTGCCCAGTAAAGCTTGGGCTGTGGATACACCCAAAGTAACATGTGGTCTAATCTCTCTCAACGATTGCACTGAGCAAATACTAAAACATTCCCTAGTGATGATAATGACTATTACATATTATGCGACATTATTAGACTTAATATAAACAATTTGAATCTCTACAACTCTTGATGGTCAAAAAAGATCAAGGAGGATTACAGGAGGTTATCCCTGGTTAGTCTACCACATTTTGGGGATGGCAACATGCAGGTTCCTAGTCAGTGTGAACTTACAAATATCAGCAGAGAAACCATGCTGTGCGATTTCTGCATTTTAAGCCAATTTACTGAACTCCAAATTCCCGGGAATGAAGTAACTAAATAAAGGTTGTTAGTTTTATATATCTTACTTAACTAAATGAATACTTTTCTGACTTGTTATCAGGTAAGAGAACAGAAGAGCTTTTACTGAACTACTGGTACTGGTGGGTGGGGGGACCAGTCTGGCAAGTGGGTCTATCCTTGCCATAGTCCCCGTGGGTTCATAATCCTGTTTGGCAACCCCTAACGAATATCTTGAGGTTGTCCTAAGTACTGAGTGTCAAGAATCATTTGTTCCGGAGCTGCCGAGAAATTAAAATTAACCGACACATGTGGGAGTCGAATACATAACTCGGTAATCTGAGACTAAGGGCCCAACGTCAGCCATCACGCCTTCTTTAGTGGACTAACATCGTCTCTTTGTTCATTAAACATACACTAACTCTAACAAATACGTTTGGACTATTTAGAATAATCAATGGAAATAAAAGCATTACCTGAATCAGGTAGTCCTGAAGTCAATAATTTACACGACTTTCTGAACTAATGAACTCAATAACGTTTTCATTTTTTATTTAATTCATTCAGTAACGTGAAAGATGTTTTCATGGTTAATTCTATACCTGATAGTTTGAAGTTTTTATTTTCCAAAGTTTGTTCTCAAAATCGCTTATTATGCGGACGACACAGGAAACAACTTTGTTGTGTGTTGGGAACCAAACACATGTTGGCCAATTTCAAAATGAACAAGATTGTGAGAGTGAGAATGTTAAAACAAGTTGTTGGTCCATGAAGGCCAATCTGCCCATTAGTCTCTACTACCTTTTTATCATGTTCTGTCTCTTGCACCTCAGTGACAGTCACAAACTCCTAACAATGAAGCTAGGAATAGTAACTGATCAAGGCCATTTCAGATACCAATGAAAATAATGATTATAGAATAACAGTCCAGATAATTACTGATATAGGTTGTAATTATGGAGTGAAGATTTTTAATAATTTGCCTTTTTGTTTGTTTGGGTACTGATACATATTTATTTGTATTTAACTCAGTGATTCCTGGACTTCCAACCTATTTTTAACAGCAACTATTTGACTGATCAGAAATATCTCCAATGTACACTGATAGCTTGTATAACAATAAGTGAGAGGTCAAAGAAGGCAATAGGAAGGTTTCTAGAAGCCTGCCATGTATGTAACTCTGTAAGAGACAGCTAGGAGTATCTTATCTTCCTTTGAGGATATGATTGGTGGGTCAAAGGTAACTCCACTTTCTATCTATTCCTCAATAATTTCCACAGTCCCATTATTTCATTTTAATTCCTCATGCTTTTCGTTTCTAATAAAAAATATATATTCATGACATGAACTGCATCAGTACTTTCCATAATTCCTTTGTAAAAAGCTAATGTAATTTACTCATACTATGTTATTAAGAAAATTATAACTACGGTACGTAGTAATAATCAAAAACCATGTAGAAGCTTTTTCTAAAATAAAATATCTCATTAATTATATGATAGTTTTCTCTCAACTAATGTTTACCAACATTACTTATTACTAACTTACTTACAACTACGTTATAACTAAATTAATAACAGGTCAACATTCTGATAAATCTTGTTATTAATTAATAATGTTGTTGGCCAACCAAGTTGGCTTTAAATGACTGTTGACAGGTCCAAAAAAAGGTACTTGATATACGCAATGTTTTAGTTGTTATTGTTAATGCATTTGATGATATAGTCATTTAAGCTGTGCAATAACATGTATTTTAATATTAGTGTTTTGAATTGTATTTGAACAGAATATTTGATACAATAACAATTAACAATCAAATTAGCAGTCTGAAAAGCTGTAATCTGATTCCTATTATCTTTAATTAAATGATTATGAAAAGAGTGATTCAGAGGTTGTCTTTAAAACCTACCTTATTATAAGAGTTATATAGAACATTCTTATAATTGAACAACTTTTTTATTTTGGCATAAATAAAAATAAATAAGCTGTTTTTTGGCATAAATCATTCAAAAAATATATTATGCATTGGGTAAATATTAAAAAGTTGTTTTCGTTGAAAGCCGAACAATTTCTAATTTATTCCATGTGATCTAAATTGTTTGTTGTAGGAATAGGTTTCACTTTTTCTGTCAATTTTAAAAATTGCAACTGACATTCTTTTCCAATTATAGAAGAGTAAACTTTTACAGTCAAATTCATGTTACTTATGTCCTACTTTACTTATATCTATTTCAGTAATTCTTTGATATAAAGTATTAACTGAATATATTGCCGATCTGATCTTAAAAATAGGTAAAAATTAATACAAAGTAAAATAAAATTGTATTTTATATAGACTTATAGATAATATTGATTCAGAGCCATAATCACAATGAACACTCATAATTACTTCATTAAGTAGGTAAATGGAAAAAGAAAGTCTAATTTCTGGAGTTAATCCAGTATAGGACTATGATTCATTAATATTTCATATTGAAACTACTAAGTCTGAAACAAACCTAAGTGTATTTTAATCTTTATTTAAATTATTGATGAAATTAATTTTTTTTTAAATGAAATATTTATAGAATTATTAAACCATTAATCATCATCTTAAAAAAATTTCACAACCATAAAAAAACTAATAACTAATAAATATTTAAAACATACTATTTATAAATTACTACTGACATGATCTAAATTATTTTCAGTTATAGTATGAACCTATTTGGAATGCTATCAGGCATAAATTTACTTATCATTGTCTTTTCTCTTTTTCTATCTATCTATTGTATGTTCATCTATTATTTTCCCTAAAGATTAAAATCGATAATAATAACCTTATTAGTTCTTTTTGTTGACTGAAAATAATTTATAATTCATGACTTCAAAATGTTTAAAATTATTTAAAATTCAAAGTCCTTCCATTTAAAATCACATTAATAAATGAAGTGGCTGAAAGTAAAGCTTGAGTCATATCTTCCCTTGTATTTGGTTTCAAACTAAAGAATTTAGCCTTCAATTCTTGAGGAAAACTGAGACAATCTGTTGACGATCTTTCATCAATAATACTTACAACTTGGTTCTGCAATGATACTCTTTCAGAACCTACAGCAGCTTTATATAAATTATTTTTCACTGCAGGTTTTATAAAGGCAACAACTGGATATTCTTTCCCTTCTCCTCCTGCAATAAAAATATACAAATTAACATTATATGCCGCAATTTTCAATAGTCTTAATTTGGTGAAAGAGAATTTATTTAAAAAGATGTATAAATATTGTATATAATATTATGGCCCTTCCAAATATTTCATGTATGAAGGTCATGCCGAAAGTAAAGATTGATTTAATGAATCTAAAATACATTTGAAAGAAAACTTCATTTAATAACAACAATTTATTCTATTTTTCAAAGTAAAGGCCATTCCTATTAAGGCATATATTGAAATGAGATCTTAAGTTTTCGATGCAAATGTTATATTCTTCTACTCCTAATGACTTAAGCCAATATTTCATGGCCATTTTGAGATCATTCATAATTTTTAAACACTTTTCTACTAAAAAATCCGTTTATTTCCTTCAAACTCCTTATTCTTTAAACACGCCTGTAATAAGTGATGACCTCTCATTCTTGTCTTTTTTATGCAAAATGGTTATTCTTACATTATCCACCAAATCTTTGATAACAACTTGTTCAAAACATTATATCCATACACTTGAGGTATTAGCCTATAAATTTTGAGTGGTAGAACATTTTGTGTATTCAAAACAGTTAAGAATTTTCCCACTCATTCAACTCACCAATGCAAATATTTAATGTTTATGGGAGACACAGGCAGCTTGGAGGAGGTGGGAGGCGGTTGGACTCACTCTGGTGTGATCCACAATATCCTTAAGGTGTCTTTGGGGTCTCTTAGGCTATCTAACCACCGACCAATATTCAAATATACAAGAAGTTCAAGAACATTGACAGGTCTTGATCCTCAGATTATGGCTGTTCAGGCTCAGTAAGCCAATGAAGACCTGTATGTTTTGCTAAAATAGGCCATACATGGACCAAACCTATAATTAGTTATGTCGGAAGACCACTGGCTTATTTGAAATGTAAATAACAGAAAATCATTCTATATATTCATTAGCAAGACAAATGTTATAAACCAGAACAACAATTCATTTTATTATAGCTACTAATTTTTTAGTGAATGTGATTAGTCTAAGACATATATATTCCATCAGTATGGAGCATTCATAAATATAGATTACAACCAACATGAAAATAAAAATTTATATTATACACTTAAACAAATAAAAATACCCACAGTGAAATATAAATAATTTTATTATCACTGTGTTCGCTTTAAAATTCTGAAACAAGCAATGTGAAGAGGGAGAGGGGAGTATTGAAATTCATTCCTTAGCAGACCACCTCATTCAGGTAAGATATTTGATAGTATGTTCAAAACACCACCCCATCTTGTATGCCAGAAATGGAGGCAGGGGTAACCGAAAAAAATTGGAGTGAGTAGACAAAGATTATTGCAATTTAATTGTTCTGAAAACAAAGAGGTAAGATATAGAACAGCAATATCAAACTTCGAAGTTCCAAGATCTATAGTTTCTAATTTCTGCTTATTCTATCTCACATGGCAGAAAAACAATAAAAGAGAATATGAACGTACATAATGAGAAATTAATGTATGATTGCAAGGATAGGAAAATAAAATTAAAAATCTATAACCTATGATTGAATCAATTCATAACTCCCATTGTAATGGCTTATGATTTTTTTTGGCTTATGATTTTTTAACCAAATCTTCATTGTACATACATGTTCTAAAGTCACTCAAATAGATTAAAGACTTCAGTGAAAATTGATAAATTACTTATATAACCTCAAACTAAAATTATACTAGAAAAGATTTTTTTTAAAAATGGGAACAAACACTCTATTCGGGAAGAAAAAATAGCCAAATAAAAACCAAATTAAATTTTAAAATAACAAATAAACAATTTATATCTCATCATTCACAAAAATTATTATTTTGTTTTATAAAACTAGAACACCAGCAAGAGTAAGAGGGAACAAGCAAAGAATACAAAGTTATTAGTACTTTAGAGTACTTCTAAATCTACATACTAGATCCTTGAATAAATGAAGAAAGCATAGCTGTAATGAGGTTCCTGCTGTAATCAACATGGTTCCTTCCACTGCCCATTTCTTCTAGTATGTAAATGTGACCATGAGGAATAAGGGGCACAACTTTTTCTACCTAAAAAGTAATTAAATTAATAGTTTTATCATTCAAAAATATTTGAAAAGATTTAATTAAAACCACCTAACTTACCACAGATAGAGAGTCATATAGACTCCCTTTATCAAGCATATATTCTTTGAAGTCCCATTCCAACAAAGATTTATTTAAAGAATTAATTAATGCCCAACTAATATGACCAGTACCAACATGTATGGCAGTAATATCAATTAAGTCCTACAAAAGTCAATTCATTTAACTAGTTATTTAAGTAACCTAAAAAAATAAATATGAAAAAATTGTACTTTTTTCTGATTCTCTCCGATAGGGGGTGTTGCAAGATTCAATACTCTTTTTTTAACTTTAGCAACCTTCTTAGTGCCATTTTCATTGTCTAAAATAGTGTCACAAAATTTCCTTAAAACTTTGGGCCCAATTCCGTTAATATTCAGAAGGTCTTCAAGAGTAGTCAATTTTTTTTTCTCTAGATACTGATTAATTTTTATAAGTTGACTAGAACTTAAACTTCCGCTGAAATCAAATGGAAATTACATTATTTTATAAACAATTACATTTTTATGAGTCAAACATTAGATTGATCACCTCAATTCAAGCTAGAAAAGTGTGTTACATACATACTTTGGTAAATCTCTTTCATTTATTTTATTTAAGATGAATTCTTTTTCTTGAGAAGAATAGATTCTTTGAAAAAACGTTTGGCATGTACTAAAATACTTAACATCAAACTTTCTCTGGAAAAAAAAACAATCACAATTGTAGCAGAGGTGATTCAGATCAACTTTTATTTTTTAATACAGGTATATTAACTTACCAAAAGTCCTGATAACATAGACATCATTCACTGATAACATGTTGGTGAAGATGATATTCAGGTTATAAGTTCCTTGACTCAAGGTGTTTGTTGTTGTAACCTTCGCCATGAGGTTACGAAGGATTGTATATTTCAAAAGTTATTCATTTGTTAGTTAAAAAAGAATGTTTTTTCAGTATTATAAAACAAGTGCTAGTATTATTGTGAATTTCCTTTGTTATTTTATCGTTATAAGGTGGGGCAATACGGATTTACCACCGTTTTGATTTGTAAGTAGAACTAGGGAAACTATTCCCATAATTCGTAAAGGTAGTGTTATAAATAACGTTTTTTATACAATTGTATTCGTTTTTTAATTCATATTATTATTAAGTTCAGTTTTATTTTAGGTTTATTTGCATTGCAACAAATTTACTTTTTTTTTTAAAGAATTATTTAAATTAATCTTATTTATTTTTTTCTTTATGGTTATATAAGCTTATTTTAAAAATTTCTTTTTTCTATTTCTATTTTTGCCATATTAAGCCCCCAGATTTGAATAAATTATTAAGCCTACACTTATGCCAGTAACACTCCTTAAAAATAAAAACTGAAGTTGTTTCAAGCTCAGTTATACCTATCTTTACTTATTTTTTGCCAATATCTAATGAAAAATGGTTTTTACTGAATTACTAATAATCAATCCAAAAATTAATAATTTTCAAACTTGGTTTATGAAATTATTCATTTGAATTAAGAAGCAAGATTGCTCCTAGTGTGAAAATTACTTTGTTTTGGTATTTAAATTGTTAACTGCCATCTGTGAGGAAGCAGCTAAATTATTTTTCTTTGCATTAATTATAACTTTTTAGGTTTAAATTCTGTATTTTTTTTTAAACTTATAAATTTAAAATAAATGTGAACATATTTTTTATGTATTTTCAGTTTGTTCTAATGTTAATATTTTAATATTGATTATGTGGTATGTATATTTGCAATACATAAACATTTCATGTCAATACCCTGATTTGTTTTTATTTTAAGATTTGTGATTTTTAACTGATTGTATATTGATATAGATGCTATTCATTTACACATTTTTCCTTTTATCGATATCTGGATTGTTCATTTGATCCAATAAGAAACATTTTCTTGTTTTACAGATGGCTCTTAAGTTTGAGAATGTAGTAATGGATAGTACTTTATTTTTTAGTTTGATGAATTTGGATTAAAGAATATTCCACTACAAAATTTGTATCCAAAAATTGCTTTATTCCATTTGTTGTTACTATTAGAACCTTACATTTTTGGTTTTTGAATAACCATGTTGGGTTTGTTGAGAAAATCAGGAAGGCATTTTTGCTAGAAAGTGATGTAAAGATAATTATTAAAAAACTTGATAATGGTAAAGCTTTTAGTGTAGGCAACCAATATTATTTTCTTGACACAGGTGGTTTTATTAACACCAGGTTCATAAGTTTTCAGTTATTGGCAGCTGTTTTTTTGTAAATAAGATATGGTAGACATATTTATTTACTGAGAACCTATGTCCTCCATCCACACAAAAATTGAGTTCCTTTTAGTCTCTTCATTAAAGGATTAGCTATTGTAGAAAATGGGCACATACAATTTGATCCTAGTCCTGCCTTTTGTTCCATATTTTCTATAGATCCAATGTCCAAAAAATGAACTTATGATCATGCTTTCACTGTTATTTTGGTCTGTACACTTGGAAACCACTGTGATATTCTACCTTCCCAGCAGAATTGATTAACGAACTCGTACGCATTTGACTTATCGATCACTCCCTCTTGGTCATAGCTGAAATAAGGTTAGAATGAAGAAGGAAACTTTTTTCTTCCCAAATCTATCCAAATACTATTTGCAAACGTAAATTTGTTTTCTCTGTAACACTAGAATTTTTTTGTAATTACTTAAAGTAAATATTAAGCATTTAATAGTTTTCAAGTTGTAGCATATCATTTTTGAAGATTTCCGAAGTATGAATGTATACATTTTAGTATGTGTTTACGTTACAACTATTTAAATAGCATACCCATTCCTCAATCATAATACAGGTTCATCGTTACAAATGTACATGCATACAACACATCCATCAGGTACTGCCCATTTCTAGGCCTCCACACTCTATATTAGTAGGTATTTTAGGGTTACATTTTCCTTTAGACCTTTTCAATACAGTTGTACCAACTTAATTTTTCATTTTTTTTTATTTAATTTTTAAATTTTTTCTCTCTTAAGTCGGGGTTGCATTCGTGGCTGCAATGGACCTCGAATTTTATATTTCAGTTTTCTTTAGGTCCCAGAAAAAAATCTGCTTAATTTCTCATTATTGGTATAAGTTTTAAAAATATATCGGTAGTAGTGGCCATCCTGTCGACGCCATTCGTAGGAGTGGGGGCAATATGTTTCTCTTTCCCTACGAGACGTCGTTGTGTACTGATCTTTTCCTCGCGTTTCATTTTTTTGTAAGTATTAGTAAAGTTTATTATATGTTAAATTTTATTTAATGTTTGTTTCATATTTTTATTATTTAAAAATGTTGGAAGCCATAAAACTTGTTTGAGGATCGCGAACGATGTTAGGCAATCAACGGTAAGAGGTCGGCGGCCATATTGGATTCCGCAGCTCAACCTTAGCCTTCGATTGCGATCCAACTTTCAGCGCTTGTAACGTACTGTTTGTTCTTAGGTTGTTGTATAAGCTCCATTCGTATTGACTTGATAAGGATTATATTGTTTTGGTTCAACTATAGCTTATAGGCGTTTGCCTTTCTCCCAATCCCAATGCATGTTGGCAGCTCTTTGTTGGATCATAGGTCCAGTAGATGTGTTTTCCTAAAAGGAAAACTCTTTCGAGATTGGGGTTTGGATACAACCAATTTTGACTTTTACCCACCAATTAAATGGGTAATGTTTATACCGGTTTGTGCTAATATGGATTTGTTAGAATTAAACTTCAGCGGCATTTATTCCACTTTTTCATGAAATAGCTGTTAAGTATTGAATGGAATAATTCTGGGATTGCTTCACTTTAAGCATTGCTTACTCCACTTTGAATAGCGTGTCCCATTAAATCTAACTATCCAAACTACGAGTTTTACTTACGTTTAGTATTAAAGAACGAAATAGTTTGTAGTATCAAATATTTATTTCATAACTTACGTTTTCTTCATTTACGTTTTTTTCAACTTGTGTAATATTTTATTAGTAATAATAAACCATTAGATTCCGTATAATTTCACATAAAATAATTGTTCGTATTACAGCATAGACTAGTCGATTCGACACTGCAAACATTTCACTTAATCTACGTAATATTAATACTCGAAATCCTTATACTGATAAGTAAAAACATGCACAGTAACTCTTCCTGTTTTGAAACGGTGTTGCCAACATTCAGTTATTTCGGTTGGCTTCACTTCTCGTTCACACCCTTCTGTGACTTATCTCGTTCTAATAAAATTTGTTTCATATATTGTTGAGTTATAAATAGTTTTTATATTCATATTTGGAATATATTTAATTTTTATATTTTAACTCTTCGTTTTCTACAAAATTTTAAAATATGAGAAAACAATAAGTAATTACACTGTTCTTAATAAAACCATATCACAAAAAAAAAAAGGTCGTGATGTTTATATCTCTTTTATATGAACATGTATGTATTTCATCTTCTTTCTTCTCAGTTTTTTTTAATTTAATTTTTTTAATATGTTTTATCAATAAACCATAGATTTTTGTGTATTATATTTTATTTTAGATACATTAAGTTGACCTGTAATAATGAATCTCTTTGCGTACTGTAACATTTGAGTCGTTTTTATTTTAAAACCCATCGTTAAAAAAAAAAAAATGATTATCATTAATCAATAATTTTTCTAATGGAATTATTTATTGTAAGTAAGTAATAAGTAAATTAAATCGAGAAAGTAAATTTTGTGTTTTATGTTCACAAAACTGATTCTCTACATTTTATCTATATCAGCAATTAAAGGTGCTGATTTTCATGAAATAGTGATCTAGGTGACTAGATCTTATATTTCAGTAGTATTAAGACTATAAGTGCCTTAATTTTCGTTTTTTTATTTACGTCGTATTTTTTATTTTATGTCTTGTTACTTAACTTCTTCCCGTAAATTCCATTCTTAGTTTTGTTTTAGAAAAAAATATATATGATTCCAGGTCTTTTTTACCATTACCTCCTACCTTGTCATTCCTAGCACACCAGATGGGGGAGGTGAGAGGGAAGGGGGATGTTATAGAGATACAGTTAAACCTATTCCAACTAGAGTGGAAAGGTCGAGATTCATTTCGTGTGTCTCCCATGAAATGATTTTAGATTTTTTTAAAAAATTATTAGTCAAACGAGAAATGATTAACTATGTATCAATCTCATTTTCTTTTGTTCATTTGTTGGTACGCCCTCCTCCTGTTTTACTTTTGAAATCAGCTGTTTAGAGAGAACATCCTATTTCTGCTCAATACGATTATGGATATTAACTTTTTCTAAAATCTAACTCTTCACATAAACACAAGAAAATTATCTCTATAATCTAATCGAATTAGCTGAGGTCAATGTTCCAAGTATTTTACGTCAGTGCTCCGCAGTAAAAATGTGGTTGAAACATCTTTTCTCTTTCAATGTTATAATATTGGAGTCAGATTTAAGTACATATTTTTTCTTATTTTCACTTATTACGTCATATTTCTCCTTTGCAATCTTTATTGTTAGAAGACTTTTTAAGCAGCAAACAATTATACTATTTTTTATACTGGGCGTGTACGAGTCGCCCAGATACTAAAAGCAATATTTATGTTATAACTTATTTGGGCTTTGGTCGCCAAAACTATTAATTCTGCTTGTTTTGGTAGTAAATAACACGATTTACGGTACTATCTTCAGTAGGTTATACCCTCTTTTGGAAATTTGTTATAGTAATTGTTATAGATTTGATGATATATGAACAGGAGAATGTAGTGTTTATGTAGAACTGATTATAACTTACGCCTATAAGAATTAAGTTCGGTGAGTATATTGATGCTCTTGT